GCCTCAAAGAGCCATCAGACCACCACAGATGGGGCCCAATAGGGCCGATGCCGATTCGGAGTCGCGGAGAACCTAACGGGTAACCGGGGCTCCGGCTCGACGTGCAGGAGAAGGAACGGGGTGGTTTTTAGTCAGTAAGAGTCTGACACTCCCTTCCGCCTCACCCAGGCGGGAGCAGTCATTCGATGATTTTCCCCCCTTAAAAAAAAAGTATATATATATATAATAAGTATATATATACAACAATGGAATACATGTCAATAGAATAAATATAAAAAGTAATATAAAATAAAATAATAAGAAAAGAAAGTAATATATTCATGAGGAATTTTGACGAGAAAAAGTGACATTCTCGTCAGATCGCTAAAATGCTGCTCTATTTTAAGTAGCTCGTGTCTCAACTTTAGGTGTTTGTGTACTATATTGAGGTGCAGATCGTAAACTACTTCAAGTTTCGTGCATTAAACATCACTGTACCTGTCATTCCGTAAAAGGTTTTCGAAATGATACATCAAATTACTATCGAGCTTCATCTCTTGAGCTGTTATGGAAAGGGATTGAATATATTGCGAACTTCGTTCGGAAAATTGAAAATGTGAAAATATTTCACCATAAAAATTTTGAGCAGTAAATGCATAAGTCTTATTTGTTGTTACTTTTGCTAATACAGGAAATTTCTTTGATAAAAAAACAGTTAAGTATAAGAAGTCGTTCCGCACAATGTCTTGGGAAAGCCATGCTTCGGCACAAATGGGCCGGTTCGACCGGAGTGATACCACGGCCTCACAGAAAACCGACGTGAAACAACACTTGCGTTATGTTTCGTCGTGAAGTTACCAGAGGCTCAACTACCCCCCGCCCCAAATATACCCAATCCCTTAATCCCCAACAATCCTCAACTTCCTACTCCCGAAAAGGCTGGTAACTAACTTGTAACGTCTCTGGTGTTCCGGGTGTCCGTGGGTGACGCTGATTGCTTACCACCAGGTGACCGTCTGATCGTTTGCCGGCTTAACCTATAAAAAAAAACAAAATAAAAAAAGAATATAACTACATACATACATATTGATGCTACTTCAAATTAATTCGTACCTAGTCAACAGGAAAAAGTTCGAAGATTTATCGAATTTTCCAAACCTATATTATCTGCCTCTTTTCATCAAAGAAATGTAAGGGTTGAATGACATTCAAATTTATACGTATTTGATAAAGCCTTTGATAAATAAGACGAACGGCCAAACGATGTATCGGAAAGTTTTTTTTATGTTTAAAAACCATCTTATTGTTTAAAAGTGATCAATCGTCAATTGGGATGATGGCAGGGTATGAAAATTAAAAATCTAATTAGTCCGTAAGTTAGGTAATGAAACAATATTAGACACATTTTTTAAATTTTTTCATATAATAAAACAATACTTAGATAAAACGAATCAAAGTTTAGGAGTGGGGGCTAAACGTCATGTCTACGTATAAAATGTACATAGAAGTGACGTCACGCGACATTTCAAATCAATATATCGTTGAAAGTATTCGTTTCTGTAAGAAAATAAAAAATACGTGTCTAATGATTTAAAATAATCTACTAGACGGACATTAAAATAAAAGTTAGGCATCTACCCTATTCTATTCAGTATTAAAATTCATTTTTTAAACAATTCTAAATTTTCCTCAATCATTTGTGAAAAGGAAATCGTTTTATTTTTATCTTTTCTAACAATAGCCTCTCAGATAATTATTATTCTTAACAGGAAAATAAACACATCAAATAAGGCTATTGACATGAGATGTATATGGATAGAATTCTTCTAATATGTCTTTGATGTCATGATAATACATAGAAAGAAAATGTATTGTCAAAAAAGCGACCGTGATTCTTTACCTCGATTTTCACTTGGTATTGGAACATAAACACCGAAGTCCAATAATGCATACCACGAGGTAAAAGGTTGAAAGAAAAAAATCTTATAAGAATAAGAACGTTTATTTGAACGAAGTATGGTAATTGCAGGTATTAATAAAAAATAGTCCCACATACACCACCTACTGTTTTCAGCATACAAAGTTAAATTTTACAATATAACTAGCGGACCCGACAGACGTTGTCCTGCATATCCACTTGAATGTATAAACAAAAATTCATTCAAATTAGTTCAGCCGTTTAGGATATAAATAACCTAGTCACCGACAAGCATCATCTGCCGGGCTGATTTGTGGATATAAACAATTCCCAGATCCCTTTGACACACACGAAAAATTTCATCAAAATCTGTCCAGTCATTTGAGAGCAGTTCAGTGACATACACACTCACAGAAGAATTGTGTATATAAAAGATAAAGTTAAAATGTTACAATTAATAAGACTAATTACAAAAATGCTTACAACTAGGATAACATATTATTTCTCTTGGTTATAAAAATAAAGTTAAACATTAAGGAAAGGTTTTCTACTCCTTGACCCTTACCTGGTGACCCAATTAATACGTTTCCGAAAGTTAAATCGACTGTAGTAACAATTACTCACAAAACATAACAAAATCTCGGATCTCCGGACAAAAAAAATGTTAAAAAAGAAGAAAATTGGGGACTTTTCTTAGAAAGTTTTTGGAAACGATAAAGAAGTAATCAACTTTTGTAGACCTAAAGTCAATTTAATGGAGATGGAGTCTAAAAGTTAGGCTAAGGATAGAACTAACCCAAAATGTATTAGAAAGAAATTGTAGACCATTTTTTGTGGTGAAATAGACATAAAAAAGGTGCCGTCTATGTAAAATCTTTTGAAATCGTAATCAGAACCCAATTGTTGGACCAACTTTACGTTTTTAGGTTTCTATTATAACGTGCACAATTATCATCTCTACGATGTTATGGTAAAATGTTTGTCAATTTTTTCTAATTTAAAAAAAAATATAGTAATGAACGGCGTATAATGAATTTGTTGAAAAAGTGTTGAATGGAGTAGACGAAAAAGGTGTTGCAAAAATATTTACCAAAATTTAAAACTAAGTATTGCGTCAAAAGAGCCTTTAAAAGCCTTTTAGTTACCTTTTTTCTGGTAAAACCAAAAGGTCAGAAGCTTTTGTCAAAACGTGATGTCATTCTCATATTTAAAGCACTTTGCTTTGAAGTTTCGAGTGATTTTTCAAGAATGATTTATTTATTTTTATATTCCATAAGTATACATTTACTATTATCCCGTAACAGGGTAGACTGAATGAATATAAAAGGTGAAAACTTTTATTAAATGTCGTCGTGGCCCGGAGGTATAGGACGCCCGCTTTTCATGCATGAAAGTGCAGGGTCGAAATCTGTCTACGGCAAAGACCAATGTTACTTTTTCTATGGTGATCGTACCACCACACCATACCATACGTACCATCAGGTGATCCGTGCGCTCATTTACCGGCTTATACTATAAAAAAAAATCAATGACTTCTCCCGTCTTTAGTGAAGTGAGAGTTTTACCACGCAGATTAATAAGCAGGCAAAAAACTAGTAGACATGTTTATACCAATTAAAGATTAAAATACCGAATATTGTTACAGAACAAAATCGTGTTGAAACAACGTTTTGAAAAGACAAACCGAAACTGTAAATGTAAGCTATTTAAGGCTTAGTAAATGAGGAAAATTAATTTAATCTCGAAAAAGGATACTAGATTTGTTAAATGTATACTCTCGGAGAACGTGACTTTAGAGACGCAAAACAAAGTTTATTTTTGGAATATAAACTGTAATGAAAATAATTTGAATTGAAACTATGTTCTAATTTTGGAATCTTGATTCTAAAACTAATTATAAAACAGTGTCTTCTTTGTATCATATTATTATGTACTTTGAAAGTAATTTCTGTGAATATGTATGAAAATAAGTAGTCGAAAATATGGAAATTTTCTTTAGTTGTACGGTCAAAGGTCAAAAGTCCACCACCGATAGACTACTATCGGTTGCGCTGCAGCGCTTATATCCGTGTGCGTACGCGTGTGTGTGTGCAATGCGTAAGTAATTTCATATTATGCGCATTAATATGAAATTACTTACGCATTGCCGTGTGAACCACTCACGGTGGCAATGGACCTTTGACTGAACCTATTAAAGGAAAGAAAGTCTTTCAAAATTGAGTGACGAATAACTACTTTTCTCTTGATTTTCTGTATGTAGGTAGGTACTTGTTATTTTAAAAAGAATTTTGGTATATAAAAAACATTGCCAACAAAGACAGATATCGAGTTGTCTTTGATATCTTATTATTTTTGGACAAAAGCTTGTTGACTGATTAAAATTAAATCTTCTTTCGGCACAAATGTAAAATTTCTCATCCCGAAATAGTTTCCGTTTGTCTGAATTTCAATTAAAACAATTCTCGAAAAGGCGTTTAGATATTATTCACGCTTTGTGACATGTTTCATTAAAAGAGAAATCTCGGGATCGTAAATTTGATTGAGCATACAATTAAAGTTCCTATATTTTTGTGTAACTCTTACAGATACAAAATAGAATTAACACTCTGCACAACTCCTCCGCCATAACCTCAACGCTTGGCAGGAGCAATTGATATTGCAGGCAGTATTAAAGACTCAGAGACTTATCAGAGAGCAATATCGCCTGGTTACCATTGCTTAGTCAGCTCTCAGGAAGTGTCCAGTCCATATATGGCGAATAGAATGAAATTATTATTTACCTCTATATGAATCTTATGTAAGTTGAACAATAAACCATTGTCGTGACTGCACGCACACAACTCGCGGGCAGCCCGCAAACGGCTTGCGAGGGGCACTTTCGCGGTGCATTCCAAAGATGTGGACGCTCCGTTAAAAGGAGTCAGAAGTGACTGCTTCGAAATGCGATCGCATAGTGAACTGCAGACTTCTACAAATACGTATTCCTCGAGTAGTTAGAGTCAACAGCTGAAGCCACTGTGTTGTGTTTATTATCATATTCACCATAATATTATGATGATTTAAACAAACCAATTGTTAAAAGAAAATCTTACATACCTTACAGATATGAAGGTGAATTCATGCAGGGCTGGTTCCATGGTCATGGCGTGTTCTGGCGAGCTGATGGCATGAAGTTCGAAGGGGAGTTTCGTGGAGGAAGGGTTTGGGGTTTGGGTAAGATATCTTCATACTACTAGTCAAATATATCTGAGTTTATATTATGAAAAGTTATCATAAAAATGTCAGTCGTCGACTACTTTATGCTCATCTGTAACTTACATTAATTTATGATTCACTTGCAACCGCTTTATGTTTATGTTCTTTACTGTTATTGTAATATTCAGCTAGTTTTTATACATTTCATATAGTACAAAACTAGTAAATTAAAAATCTTAGTTTTAATAACATAACATCACGTCTTTTATCCCCGAAGGGGTAGGCAGAGGTGTACATTATGCCACTGTACAATGTAACACACACTTTTCACTATTTATGTTATGAATCCCATGTAATAGGGGGTGAGCCTATTGCCATAAACCGAGCACAATTCCAGACTCCGTGCTACTACTGTGAATTTTTTTGAAAATCCAATAATACTTTGCTCGACCCGGGAATCGAACCCAAGACCCCTTGCCAGGCAGTCGCACAAACTTATGACCACTCGGCCAATAAGGTAGTCTTAATTTTACAAACAAATCCCTTAGGATTTCTTTTTCTCGCTTTTTCCTCGGTTTTTTCCAACTTGGTTGTATGGTGTCTTAACCAGATTAAGTTGAATGCCAGTTTTTTACACAGAACGATAGGCATCTGCCCTCCACCATCCATTAAGGGTAATTCTAAATTCTAGATTAGACTCTATTTAAGGACTTTTGAGCTTCCAACCAAATTTTGTACAAAAAACCGGGATCCACAATTCCACATTCTTTAGAAAGTTCCAGAATTTTCGAGTCTTTTTACAAGTTAAATATTAGCTGTCTTCACACATGAAAATCTTCTTTTCAAATAATACTTTTAATCATACATAACTTAACACCATTGCATGTAGGTACTCTTGTAATATTACTCATGTTAACGCAAATAAAAAATATCTTTATCTTTATCTAAAAAAATAGAATACGTAACATTTCGTACCAGACTTAAGTAATAAAATATCTTCTATTCAAATATCTATATAATATTAAAATGTTCCTTCTTCCGCAAGAAATATGTGTGCGTCGTAAATCTATGTTTGAGTTATTCTAGAACTAGCATATTACAATAGTGCTGACATAACAATTGTAGGAGGAAAATAAAACTTTAGGGTTATGTTGACAGTAAGATCTCTCATTTTTTCAAGGACAAAGAGGTAGTAAATTGTGTAAAATAAGTGTTTTTATGGCATATAACTAGCTGACGAGCATTGTAAACGAGCAGACGGATCACCTGATGGTAAGCAACCGGCGTCTCCCATGGACACCTGGAACATCAGAGGCGTTACAAGTGCGTCACAAAACGACGAAACACAACGCAAGCGTTGCTTCACGTCGGTTTTCTGTGAGACCGTGGTATCACTCCGGTCGAGCCGGCCCATTCGTGCCGAAGCATGGCTCTCCCACACTTAAAATTGTTGGAAAAAAGTCATCGGATATGATAATTTTACTAGATATTGGGAAAATATCAACTGCTTTGGAGACAGTTAAGTTCAATTAGGATGTAAATCAAACGTTTTATCAAAGACTGGACGTTATCGATCCTGTTATTTCTGATGACTGAAATGATACACAATTTGACCCTTGACTGCCTCGTTAGCCGAGTGGTCGCAATTGCGGCAAGGGGTCTCGGGTTCGATTCCCGGGTCGGGCAAAGTATTATTGGGTTTTAAAAAAAAATCTCAGTAGTAGCACCGAGTCTGAAACTGAACACCCGAAATGCCATATGGCAATAGTGTATTGTACAGTGGTGAAATGTGCACCTCTGCCTACACCTTCGAGGATAAAAGGCGTGATGTTATGTTATGTTAAAATGATAATTTTACTATTGAGAAAATACCAACTGATTAGATGACAGTGAAGCTCCAAAGACTGGACGTTATCGATCCTGTTATTATTACAAGTGAAATGATATACAAGGAAATCTAAAAATACACCATTTGACCCTTGAATCAAACTAAAATATTGTAGTCCGCTATATTGCGTTCTTCCTTTGTATTGATGCGGTGGACTTTAAAGAAAGAGCACAAGTATACAATAAGATCGAAGTGCAAATGGAATTGATTGAGTGCAATAGAAAGTTGTACCCTTTCCCTCCCTCCCCCCGCGAGCATGCTTTAGGTGTTGATGTGATATCTACAAGCAACTATTTCCAAACTATTGCAATGTTTTATGGCAGCGTTAGTGGCACGGAGGTTTAAGATGCCTGCGTTTCGAATCCGCTATTGGTTTAAACCTACTATCGGCGAATATCAATGTGACTGAGTATGTGTGTGTGTGACTTTTACTGATGATAAAAACGGTGAAGGAAAAGATCATCGGAAACCTGGACTTATTTCTTATTATAAGTCTGAAATCGCTAATTCGCTTCTCATGCATGAGGGTGGGAGTTCGAAACCTACTAATAGCAAGTACCAATGTGACTTTTTCTGAGTTATAAGTACTTTCTGTGATTATTTAGACATCACTGACAAACAGTGAAGGAAGACATCGCGAGGAAGCCTGTAATTATAATTTCTACTTATAAATTTGAAATCGACAACCCGTATTGGGCAAGCGTTGTAATTAATGCTCAAACCTTCTCCGTGTGAGTACAGGCCTTTGGTCAGCAGTGGCCACTATAGGCTGTTGATGATAATGAACGCAAAAACATCAAGACAACACTATTAAAGTCCAAACATTCAAAGTTTGAACTCGTATTCACAGTTCAAAGTGCAAACCGATACAAAATATAACCGATAGAAATGGCCTCGGGTTAGGAAAATACAGCCAATACCTACTCAAATATATGACCGCAAATCTATGAACCGCAATATTTACCAACTTTATATTTCAATCCAAACGAAGGTAATATTGAATTTACTCTTTGCCAGTATTTTCATCGGGTTTTTGAACTCTTGACCTCTAGGAAAGCTATTCACAATTGACAGAATTTAAACCAATAGATGAACAATAGCAGAGTTTTAATAGGGACTGTCTTTGTTATAGGGATGATGACAGGGAATGAAAATTAAAAATGTAATTAGTCCTAAAGTTAGGTAATGAAAAAATATTAGACACGTATTTTTTTATTCCGTCGTATAATATAACAATCCTTTGATAAAACGAATCAAAGTTTAGGAGTGGGGGCTAAAACGTTCCTACGTATAAAATGTACATAGAAGTGACGTCACGCGACATTTCAAATCAATATATCGTCGAAAGTATTCGTTTATGTAAGAAAATAAAAAATACGTGTCTAATGATTTAAAATAATCTACCAAACGGACAATAAAATAAAAATTTGTCATCTACCAAGTGAAACAAGTGAAACAAAAGTGAATTTATTTCTGCAAATAGGCTACAAGGCAGCACTTTTACACATCAATTTTATCAAGCGAACGATGAGGCCGACATTTCCTAACTGACTACTCTGAGAAGAAATGTCGAAACAAACTCAGAGGTTTGTCTCTTTTAAAGTCCAGACAAATGTGTATAAAAGATTATGTGTGAGAACCGTGCAAGTTCTTTCTGTAGTGGCCTTTTGAGGAAAGAACCACAACAGTTTGAGCGAACCCGCTCTGAAGGCAGTACGCATGTGTCGGTTTACAATCGGCTCAATTAGCCAGTAACTGATTCGACGAACAACACCAACCTAAAGAACATTTGCGTGGGTCGCACAAATACTCAAACTGTCAGAATATGGGTAATTAGAAAAAAATAAACCTTAACCCTACCCTATTGGAACAATTATTGCTTCAGCTACGATTATCAAATGCCTTTGAATTTTAAGACACAAGATTTTAATTTTATTTATGGAAGAAATACGAATTCTTAACAGTTTGAAAGATAGAAGTCATCATTTTCAAAGTCAAAGTCAAAGTCAAAGCATTTATTTCAATTAAACCATAGTTTGGTACTTTTGAAACGTCAACAAATACAATATAAATAATAGTCTATCAGTCAGTCCGTCAGTGAAACTAGGTGAAGCTAGGTGCTCATTCCAAAAAGTAGATTCGAATGGAGAACAACGAGCAAGAAACTCCATTCTTTTTCATTTCTAATTTGACTTACACTAGAACCAGAATACTTACATCCAAATCAATCCTATTAGGCCCAATATCTTAGTCTAGTGTCTAAAATCTAAAGACAAAGGAGTATAATTCTCCTTTAGGTACTTTAGCAAATTAGTACTGTCATGCACTTTGACTGTTAGAGAATCTGTTCTTAGTTATTCGATTTTGAACCTTGAACCGTAAACCATAAATCTACAATTACATTGCCACTAATCGCGACTGAATGTATTAAGTGAAATCTGAGTAACGCGGAGATTTATATCTTTCATCTATCAGATTAATATATCAGCTGCCACAATGTATCAGACGAGAAAGGATTTCAAAGACACTGGAATATTTTCTAATATGAAAAGAAAATAGTGAAATTAAGTGCTAAAATCGTTTGAAAATGCCTTTTATACTGTGAACACATTTAGGTGTAGGATTATATGTGACATTTAGTAATTTTTTAAACCTTATTGAGTTCTTACATTTTCAAACTTGATCAAAATCTAGCAAGAACGGTAGTACATGTACTAATGATTAGGCTAACCCACTTACATCGTATTGTATATTTTTATTTTAGTACTACCAATAACATTTCATAGTGAAGCAAGTAGAATAAAGTTTTTACCCTGCGAATAATATCACAGCAATCAGTCGTACATTTACAATTGTCAGCAGATTAAATAATGCAAGTAAGATGGTTGAATAATCGAAACTCATACATATTATAACATAGCATCACGCCTTTTATCTCCGAAGGGGTAGGCAGAGGTGTACATTATGCCACTTTACAAAACACCCACTTTTCACTATTTATTGAAATATAATCGAAACTCAAATAATCCAAAAGTAGAAATGAACATTACTAGAAAGTTATTAAGGTTCAAAATTCATTTGTTACGTTCAGTGTATGAATCGAACAAATTATTAAGGTATATTGTAGATATATCTACAATATTCCTTAATAATTTGTTCTTGTATACATAATCTAGAAAGATTTACAATAAATTAAATTGTGAATAAATATAGTTGTTCGTACTGTGGGCAGGTCAATCTGCTCTTTGTTGAAAAAAATCTTTATTAGATTTTCAACTCTATCAATTAGATATTAAGTCATAAATCCAAGGGCGAAACTTGATACATTGGATAAGGTTGATGTACCGGGCCCTGGTACCAAGCTAGATGATAAGTTAATCATAATCATAATCATAATCATTTATTTATTTGTAACATAGGTAGTATTACATGGATGTTCTTATGTTAAAAACAGGTTTAGTTACACTATGTTTCGCCTTACTTGGCGTACAAATGTTAATATATCCTATTTTAATTGAATTAATACAAGTTCTAATATCATTATTTGTTCCCAAATACGGGCTTGGTAACAAAATGATCAAAAAGAATCCGAAATAACCTGTTATAAGGTAACATTTCTTTTGATCAAAGAAAGGTTGTCGTGGTTTATGAAATTGGCTGAACTATGGTACTTACCTATCGAGATGTCTCTTCTTAGTTACTTACTTAACATTTTTTTTATGGCATAAGCCGGTAAACGAGCTGACGGATCACCTGATTGTAAGCAATCGGCGTCGCCCATGGACACGTGGAACACTAGAGGCGTTACACGTGTGTTATATATCGGATTAGGAGATTCAGGATCATTGAGGATTCAGGGATTGGGGAGATTGAGGAAGGGGATTTAATTGGGCCTCCGGTAACGTTACTCATACGAAAAAACACAACATAAGCGTTGTTTCACGTCGGTTTTCTGTGAGGCCGTGGTATCACTCCGGTCGAGCTGGCCCATTTGTGCCGAAGCATCTCCTACACTTTAGCTTATATCTAAGTGATAAATAATATAAGACTGTATGTATATATACACAAATAAGTCATGTTATATTAAATTCTCTAACTAAATTATATTATAAGCGAATCAAAGGAGTATCTCTGAATACCGCAGTACATTGTGGCTTCACCAAACTTTGAAATGAAGTTTAGTTTTAATGCATGTTATTATATTTTCAAAGCTGTTGTATTTTAAAGAGAAAATTATTCGTTTTGCGAAGCGAATTATTAAAAGTCAAAATAAAACTTTCGTTTGAGATTTAGTTTTTTATTGATGTTTTGCTATTTTATTCTTGTGGTATGAGGTCTTGAATTGTAACCCTGGGCAAACAAATAACATCACATAACATCATGCCTTTTATCCCTGAAGGGGTAGGCAGAGGTGCACATTACGGCTCTTAATGCCACTGTACAATGTAACACCCACTTTTCACTGTTTTATGTTATGAGTCCCGTGTAATAGGGGTTGAGCCTATTGCTATTATATCAAGGTATTGTGTACATGATGATATAAGACACATAACCTATTGTGTATAATCTAACAATATAAAATATAGTAGGTAAACATCTAATAATGTTTAATTTGCTTCTAATTTACTTGATCTATCGATATTGCCCACAATCATAACATGCATTATCATAATAATCGTTCAAATACTCAAAACTTTGTTGAACACAATATAAAAACTCTGGTATGTACACACGGCTACACATCGAGCTTTACATAACCAGTATAAACTGAACGTTAAATGTGCGGAAAGTTGATGCGACGCGACACCAGGATAAACTGGTTTTGTATAGATTGATGTGTGGCCGTGTGCACACTACGAAACATTATGTACGTCTACATGTAGTAGAAAAAGAAATAAAAGGTCAGCGACTGTTGCTAACACCCTATAATGTTTATATTTTCAGGACTGGTGACCTTCAGTGACGGTAGTAACGGCTTCCCTCGCAACGAAGGCTTTTTTCAGGACTGTCGGTTGGTGCGTCGCAAGCGCTGCCCAGAAGTTGTGCAGCGTGCCCAAAAGGTTGCCTATATGGCCCGTGCGCAGTGCCAACAGATGTAGAATTAACCTTACTTTATACTTCGTGTTTGCAATGAAATAAAACAGCGATGGTTCGATATTGCTGTAGAATTTTATTTTAAAACAATTGCCTAAGTTGTTTTCACTCAGTAGGAAAATGTAAGATACATCTCATTTATTTCTTAATACGATGCATGGCCAAAACCATATTTTTTTATGGCATAAGGCGATAAACGAGCATACGGATCACCTGATGGTGAACATCTTACTCAGTCGCGGAGACCCTAACGGGTTACCGGGGCTCCGGCTCGACGTGCGGGAGAAGGAACGGGGTGGTTTTTAGTCAGTAAGAGTCTGACACTCCCTCCTGCCTCACCCAGGCGGGAGCAGTCACTCGATGATTTTCCCTTAAAAAAGCATCTTACTCGATAGTTTTCAATCATGGTGGCCGTCTGTCTAACTAACTGACCCACTACGCAGGAGGCATTATAGTGCACAAGTATATTCGCAAACACAGGTGCACTCTCTGTTCCCCAACTCTCTGAACCCGATGGGACGGCAGACGGCTTTACGTGATTTTCGATACACAGGGGTGAAACACCGCCGAACTTCCTGGCTCCAGGCCAATAATTGGTCATTTTGCCCAGAAAATGCCATTATCACTTTGTTGCTGGTGAGGGAATAGAACCCGCGACGGGTTGCACAGCAGCTGGTCATCTAACCACTGCGTCAACTGTGCAGTCAAGTCAGAGTTATAGGTAAACTTGTAAAGACAACATTTCAAACCAAGAATTTCTTGTATTAATTGAACCACATGTCTTTAGGATTTCAGTTGTTAATTGTATTCGAGGACTATCTCAACTTTGAGACGCGATCCGACCTTTGTGGACTATGACACTTTATATACAATAGCTTTCCTCAGTGGATTGCATGCTTAAAGTCTTTCAGTGCTCACTGTACACAATCTAGAAAGCAAAAGGTATTATTATACAAGATGTTGTTTCAAAGCCGCGTCATTTTCTAGGAGGTAACTCGGCTATCCATTCTGAGTCCGAATCAATAAAAAAAATTATAGGTAAATATTTTTCATTTATTTGTAAATTACAGAAATCCGTAAGTGCGAACTAAACGCCGCCGTCTTGTAACTAGCTTTATAACGCGGCTTAACACACAAACTCAAACACGTAATTGATATTATTAATAATTCCATAATACTTCAATAAGAAACATTGCTGTCGCTTATTCTGAAATACTGTCGAACTTAAACGATTTATTATGGCCGTATTTTTAACTATTGGCCTAAAATACATTGAACCTCTATGACTTCAAAGTCATGGTTTCAAAACTACACCTTGTATACCATCTGAAGAGACAAAGATTGAACTTCTTTTCAACAGTAGACTTAAACTATTGATGATGATGTGTACCTTTAAATTGTAGAGGATCAGGGTTTTTTTATTGGATAAGCCGGTAAACGTGCAGACGAATCACTTAATGGTAAACAATTGGCGTCGCCCATGGACACTCGGAACATCAGAGGCGTTACAAGTGCGTTACCGGCCTTTGGGAATTTGAGGATTGTTGGGGATTCAGGGATTAAGGAGATTGGGGAGGGGATAAATTGGGACTCCGGTAACGGTGTAATAAAACACCAAAACTATGAATATAATAAAATATTTTATTAAGCATTTACAAAGCCTCTAAAGAGAGCTACCATAACATTTTACCTATATTTAGAATAAATTAATGTACGTTCATTTCGTACTATTGTTAATTTGATTTCAGTTTTCTCTTAGCTATAGTTTCTTCATCGTCGAGGCACTGGCCGTACCTTACTTCCATGCATTTGCTTCCCTGAAAACAAAAGAAAATAAACATTCGTGAGTTTGGTGACGTTGTTCGGATTTTATAGAGATAAAAATCTATTTATATCTTGAGAACTTTGGTATTTGATAACTATATAGGTACTTTAACTAAAATGATTCGGTCTTTAACGACTGCACGTTTGGCGTGGTGGTTGGGCAACTGACTGCCGCGCAATGTGTCGCGGGTTCGATTCCCGCACGCAACAACTCTGTGTGATCCACAGATTGTTGTTCCGGGTCTGGGTGTCATGTGTATGTGAACTTGTGTGTTTGTAAACGCACCCAACGACACAGGAGAAAATCCTAGTGAAAGGCGATGTTTAACAAAAAACAATCTTAAGTCAAATGGTGGCCCGGAGGTTTAAGACGCCCACTTCTCATGCATGAGGGTGCGGGTTCGAAACCTACCAACGGCAAGTACCAATGTGACTTTTTCCGAGTTATATGTACTTTCTAAGATTATTTAGACACCACTGACAAACGGTGAAGGAAAAACATCGTGAGGAAACCTGGACTTATAATTTCTAATTATAAGTTTGAAATCGCCAACCCGCATTGAGCAACACCTTCTCCGTGTGAGAAGAGGCTTTGCTCAGCAGTGGGCATTTATAGGCTGTTGATGATGGAATCTTAAGTCAAATAAAGTCAAATCTTAGTTTATCGATTCATGATAAAACTCGTTTCATGAAAGAAATTACTTGGAGACAAAATATAAAATTTAAGCCTAAGTAATTAGGCTTAGAGATTCTGTAAATATTTTTCAATATTTTCTGTAAATAAGTTCTAGAAGATATAGAGGTACAAAGTAGTGTTAATAGACCCTTTTAAGTAAAGCAGAAATATAAATTAGAAAATTTTCTATTGTGTGCCGTGAAGGTGCTTTTAAGGTTAAGTGTTTTTTAATGATTGAAGTGCAAATTGAAAGTTATGTGTGGCCAATAATTAACATTTTCTAAACATAATTTTTATAATAGAAAATACCGGTAAACGAGCAGACGGATCACCTGATGGTAAGCAATCAGCGCTGCCCATAGGCACCCGAAAAACAAGTGCGTTACCGGTCTTTTGGAGGTTAGGAATTTGAGGAATCGGGAGATTGCGGAGGGGAGTAATTGGGCCTCCGGTAACCTCATTAACACGATAAAACACAACGCAAGTATTGTTTCTTTACGGTTTTCTGTGATATTTTTAACTGTTCACTAAATATGAGTTAGACAGTGTAATAAGTAATATCTAATGGCTTCCTCGATTCATAACAATGAACACAGAACTTCTGGGAACCATTTTTAATTAAAAGCAGCCTCTTAAGGCTATAAATTTCTATATTAAACGTTTATTCAGACAAGAAGTACCTATTCATAAACTAGAATCTGGTCTTGTATGAAATTTATATTTTAATATCATGATAAATTCATGAAATTATTAAATTCTTATTCTTTGAATTCACTGTATTCTTGATTCAAGAATCTGTAATATCATTTTTGAGTAATAATTATTCAACTTTAACTGACTTTAACTGACTTGACCAATTAATGAATCTGTTGTTTAAAGTTGTATGATCTATTTTATCTCTGAAGTTTTCAGCATGGGCGAATCAATATCAATTAGCTTAGGAGTAGCCACTACTGATCAGATGGCTCTTCTCATATTAAGTTTTAAAACTTAGGTATTACCTAACTGTAGGCTATTAAACTAACTATTGGACATAGAAATTATAATATAAGTATTAATATTGTATGAATTACTACATTTTTATACAGTTATGTGAAAGGAAGCCCTTTCACTACACTTCTACTATTTAAACGTCATCATAACTCATAGTTTTAATACGAGAAAAAAACATTTTCCGTTACTATCATTTAAAAATCACACATTTTAGATGTTTTGATACAATCTTAATGCTTCTTATCACTGATGTTTCTTTAGTTATAGTATGTAGTTTACAGCACCTGTGTTTTACTGTATCTTGATCGTTCTTTTGACTAGTTTCTACGCTTCGGCGATTAAATCACAATATTTATATGACTATTTTAGTTGTCTTTGTACCTATATGAGATACCATATTTTTAATAATAATCTAAATATTTATTTTTATTAAAAAAAAAGAAAAGTTGCCCCACACTAGGATTTTCTCCTGTGTCCTGGGTGCGTTTACAAATATACAATTTCACATACACATCACACCCAGATCCGAAACAACAATTAGTGGATGACACAAATTGTTATGCCGTGCGGGATTAGAACCCGTGACACGTTGCACGGCAGCCGGTTGCCCAGCCACCGCACCAACTGTGCAGTCGTGTGTATGTTTGTTTAGAATCAAATGTATTTGGACAAGCGCTTACTTCAGTTTTGAATTTACATAGAAAATGAATTTCGTCGGTCTTTAAAAAACCTCCTACGTCTATTTCGAGGTATTTTTTTGTATATTTTAATACTTTATATTATCTTTAATATCAAATCGTTTTTCCTGGAAGGACTAACCGAATTGTTTGTAAGCAAATCCATTACGGTTAAGTAATTAAAATTTTCCGAAATACATAATATACCTATATTCAGTACGTTCTAAGTAACCACCAGCCGTGAGCTTATTGAAAGAGATAACAAAACAAAGATTATATAGGTCACATTACAATAACAGACAACATAAAAATTGCCATTAGGCACCAGCTACAAAACAGTTGCATAATAAAACAAACATCAGTTTTCGAGATTACCGCCACTCAAAACGTATTGACACAAGATGGCCGACTGACACAAAAAAACCGAACGAAACGGAACTTTCCTCACAATCATGAGACAAGGCTCTTCACACTTAGGTACCTAGTATTGACAATACTTTCAAATTCCCCTACTAAGCAACTTAAGAAAGTAAAATGATCCATGACATAACTACCGACTGTACAGCCAGTCGCGTTAACTTTCACTCGGAAGTTATATAACTGCTCACGTAACTATGACTTCTCATTAATCTTCGCTTTAAATTTATTTATTATTCGTGAAATTTAGTTTGGTAAGTACTATTGTCCGATTTGAAGGGCTTATTTGGAATGATTGCGTAAGTTTTGTGGTTTTATAGAGTTAAACCAATGTGATATATGCGTTTCAATGGTCAGTAAGGGCTTTGATGGACTAGAAGATAACATCTTTTACAACTTTTTTACATGTAACCCTTTAATCTCTATTCAAACTTTTAGCTATTATGAAACACTAGCTGTTGCCCGCGACTTCGTCCGCATAGAATGGGAGGATTTAATCAGGATAAGAAGTAACCTACCACCTAAGTCAGCCAATACTTAGCCTGTTTACCAAATTTCATCCGAATCCGTTCAGTAGTTTCAACGTGATTGACTGACAAACATCCAAACATCCAACCAACGAAAAATTTTATGATACTAACCTTAGCAATGTACGCCTTCATGTAGAAGTTTCCGAAGAGGATGATAAAGGAAATCATGTATATGATGAGCACGTAGTGCATCCACAGAGGGAACTCACAGCCGGTCCTGATGCCGTTGATACCAAGAATCAGGGCGCAGGTAAACTGGATCTGAAATGACGAGGGGTTTTTATTAGTTGAAAGATTGAACATAACGATAATATTATGCATTTGTTCCCCCAAGATAAACTACCTGCTAACTACCTCTAGTTTGCACCTATAAAATGTAACACAATTATGTCAGTAATATTTCGAAAACCTGTAAAACCTATAGTACATCTTCCGATTCGACAATGTAACAATGAAGAGACGGACCTCTGAGTTTGTTTCGGTATTTCGTCTCAGAGTAGTCAGGAAGGAAATGACTCATCGTTCGCTTAATAAAATTGACGTGTAAAAGTGCTGCCTTGTAGCCTATTTGCAGAAATAAATTCACTTGTTTCATTAGAGCCTAAAATTCCTTGCACGGTAGTTGCATTTGTGGCTAATTGAAAAAAATATCTGAAAGTTTCGTAATCAGTAAATGACTGCCTCATTGGCCGAGTGGTCGCAAGTGTGACTGCCGGGCAAGGGGTTTCGGGTTCGATTCCCGGGTCGGGTAAAGTATTACTGGGTTTTAAAAAAAATCTCAGTAGTAGCACGGAGTCTGGAATTATGCCCGGTATATGGCAATAGGCTCACCCCTATTACATGGGACTCATAAATAACATAAATAATGAAAAGTGTGTTACATTGTACAGTGGCATAATGTGCACCTCTGCCTACCCCTTCGAGGATAAAAGGCGTGATGTTATGTATGTAGTTTCGTAATCAAAAAGTAAACATGTCCCGAAATTTTAATTTCAATAGCTTACAAGTAGGTACAAACATATCAAAAAAGAGAATGTTACATTTTTTTATTTCCCTGTGATATTACGTGTCTTCTTAGCAACTTAGAAATAACAATATCGTTTTATACAACAATACAAATTCAATACATGATATGAAAGTACTACACTAACACATTATTGTAGTACTTTCCGATATAAGAAACGAAATTGTCCTTTTTCGTATTATTGTAGAATATTTTATGAGTGTACCGAAGTGTTTGACTTTATTTTCTGGAAAATATTATTATTGTGTATAGGGCTCATGTTATGAGGATATTATTAGAGAATTTAATACTACTTAGTACAAGAAAATGGCCTGGAAACTCGTAGTGGTTACGATAACATTGTCATTACATCAATATTGGTCTTTACTGCTTTTATTATTAGGTATGGTTTTATATAACTATAAATCTGTCTGATAAAGTTACATGTCTGATAGAGTAGATAAGAGCCTCGAAAATAGGTTTTTATTTTTTGTGATCGGAAGTAAATAGGATACCTAATTTAGTTTAATAGTTTTGTGTAGAAATAAGATATATGTATGTTCTTCGCCACAATAAGCGTATGTGAATGACGTTCCATGTTCGTTCCATAGGAATCTACACCTTGGAATGAGCAACTAGCTTCACTTTAATTTTTTTTTGTTGACGTTCAAAAGTGCCTTTCTTGTCTAATTGAAATAAATGATTTTGACTTTGACGTTCTATAGATATAAAAACATATCTATCGAATTCGATTTAAAAATATTGCCTAAATCATGATTGGTCCTGAGACTTCCAAATCCGCACTTGCACAGAATATGCTAAAGCGCATTGAGTCAACCCACAATGAGCAAGCGTGGTGATTAATGCCCAAACCTTCTCCGTGCGAAAAGAGGCTTTTGGTCAACAGGCTTATACTTATAGACTGTTGCTGTGTAATATGACTCAGGCATTTTAAATTAAATTACTTTAATTTTAATTCTAAAGCCACTATTTACCGGAACTAAGGCAACGTAAATAAGCATAAGTTTGAAATATGTTATTATTATCCTCTGCCTAATTACTATTGCCTAACCGAAAGTATTTCATAACTTTGAAAGAAAACAATGGCTTTGTAAACACGCGATGGCATGCGATGGCGTGTTTCGATAAAAAATTTTATATACAAATATGTACAGTGTACATACTACAGCTTAATAATCCAGTTTATCGTGGCCTTGTTTTGTATAATTTCTGCGCACATTCATCGGTCAATTTATATTGGTTATACATAGCTTGATGTGTATATATACAGTTCAAATATTGACCATTAACAAACAAATTATATTTAGACATGGAATAAATTATATTAATTAATTAGAGATCATGGTTTAATTGATCTCGTAGTCTAAAATAGCTGAAATTAATTACCCATCTGATATTTATATAAATACTAGAGGTAACTTATTTGACAGTTAAAAATAAAATTAAACGTTGCCCCACATTCAGATGTTCTCCTGTGTCGTGGGTGCGTTTACAAACATACAATTTCACATACTTACACATGACACTAGAAAGGACGCTTTATTTGAGCTCTTGTAACTAATGTTGTGTGTTTAAACTTTTTTTGAAATTAGCTAAAATTATGCTCATTGGTGGCGAGTTGTCGTTCGACGTGGAGGGCTAAGGGGGAGGCCTTTGTCCAGCAGTGGACGTCTTCCGGCTGTTGATAATGATGATGATGATGCTCATTTCAGTGCAAAGGTACTGAAATGAGCGTTTAGCATTGAGCTTACAGAGTAGAAAACTAAATGTATGGGGATGACACTGATTATCCATATAATTTGGTTTTCTATTCTACACGAAGACAAGCTAAAACTAAATGGCATTTGACTACAACTGCAGGCATGTTTTCGAATCGACAGCTGTTCGATTTTTGAACATTTGCATGCTGAATAGAACGCCTTTTAGTATATTATGCTGTTATAGGCTTTATATCAATTATGTTATAATCAAAATAATATTACTGTTTACCAAACAAAACGGTTTTCTTAAAATTTCGCATAGTTTTGTTAGCAACGAAAGTAGTTAGCGTGTAAGATGTCTTGTTTTACTTGCACTAGTAAAATATTTAAACAGAAAGGATACTATGTGTGCGCAAATGTTTCTTACGCGTAGGTAAATCAACATAGTAAGATTTTGTTCAAATATTTGTAATTTAAACATTGAAGCTTTTTATTCTTTTCATAAATTTCATTTTTCAATTATACAAATAATCACTTTCATTTCATTTTCACTTCGTAAGCGCAATCCCGTTTTCTCCCGTTTCCGTAGGATTTTCAAAAAAAAAAAAATTGTCATAAGAAATTTCTCCGGACCACAACAAACGAAACAAAAAAAAAATCGGTCCAACCGTTCACGCGTGATGGCGTGACCAAGGAATTCTATTTTATATAATTATATAGATTAGTTCTTCCCCACAACTTCACTCATGTGGCGATTGTAAAAAGGGAACCGATTTCTGTCTTCTATTTCATAGCATAACATAACATAACCTAGTACGCCTTTTATCCCCGAAGGGGTAGGCAGAGGTCTACATTATGGCACTGTACAATGTAACACCCACTTTTCACTATTTATGGTATGAGCACCATGTAATAGGGGGTGAGCCTACTGCCATATACCGGGCACAATTCCAGACTCCGTGCTACTACTGAGAATTTATAAAAAACCCAGTAATACTTTGCCCGACCCGGGAATCGAACCCGAGACCCCTTGCCCGGTAGTCGCACTTGCGACCACTTGGCCAACGAGGCAGTCTTCTATTTCCAGTCCATAAAATCGCCTCGTTGCAAAGAAGTAATACAAATACATTTTTTATTTATCATATTAGTAAGTACGAGACTACAATGAAAATAAATCTTATTTCAAAACATGGATGCTGAACTGACAATAAATGAAGATAGGTTTTGTTTTGGTAGCTTGTTTATATTCCCAACCATTATTCACTCCGATTCAGACATTATTGTTTTTCACAGTGTTAAATATCATGTTTATTTATTTATTTATTTATTTATTTATTTATTTATTTATTTATTTATTTATTTATTTATTTATTTATTTATTTATTTATTTATTTATTTATTTATTTATTTATTTATTTATTTATTTATTTATTTATTTATTTATTTATTTATTTATTTCTTTATTATAAAAATCTTCCTTCACTCTCATTACAGGATTGTAAGGAGGACAGTGAGGCTTAATCTAGTTAAAAAAACATATTTATAAAAAGAAGTAATACACCGAAAACAAAAAAAATATATGTTAAACACAAAGATAATAAAGTAGGCCTTACAACCTTTGAACCTAAAATTACATAAAAATATTATACAATAGTAGGAACTATTCACTATCACAACTTAAAATAAATAATAGTACTTTTGTGAATTCACTCGAAGGAGTTGTAAATATATCAATACGATCGTGGAGCTTATTAATGTTACAATTCTCAATGGAATATTAATCTAACAAAATTTATATGTCGGTAGAGGCTGACCTATCTATGCAAATTTTCCATCCCGGAAATCCGAACGCGTACCTTTTATACATTTTTCTACACCATAAGCCTGCATCAGATCGGATAATCTTATTCAAAATTGGCGAAACTCCAAACAGGAATTTCGAAGTATTTTGTAAAAACATGGAACAAACAATATTGTGGAAATCCTCTATTTTTATATTCTGTTGAATTTTATGCTCGTTTATCCTAAAAAACTAAATTACACAATGTCCATGTACGAAACATAATTGAATGTTCGTAGAATTCTGGGATTTAGTTTTCTGTACCTATTCATTCCTTTTTGGTTTCATTAAGGAACTGTCTAAAAAGAAATCAAAATAGAACATAACATAACATCACGCCTTTTATCCCCGAAGAGGTAGGCAGAGGTGCACACAGAGTTAACACCCACTTTTCACTATTTATATTATGAGTCCCATGTAATAGGAGGTGAGCTTATTGCCATATATCGGGCATATTTCCACACTCGGTGCTACTACTGAATTTTTTTTAAAACCCAGTAATACTTCACCCGACCCGGTAATCGCACTTGCGACTACTCGGCCAACGAGGCAGCCAAATCAAAATATGTTTGTGAGATTATTTGCATTACCTTGTAATATCCTATCGAACTTTGAATTTTACAAAAGACATGTTTAATAGGCTGCAAAAATATACAATTTTTTTTTACCTTATTCCTAACATCTCTACTCTGGTATCCGAATCTGAACTCTATCCCAAGCCGCATAAAGTACAAAATCGCTAGTTAACTTACCAGCTGCAATACAGTCAGGTATTTCTTCCACCAGAGGTATTTGCTGACAGCTGGGCCGAACACGGAGAGTCCGTAATACGTGTACATGAGCACGTGGATACCACTGTTCACCATAGCGGGCAGGAAAGCTGGAAAATAAATTCTTTGTTAATAAAATGTAAGTATGTGGAGGACTAAAAGGAGGCCTTCATCCAGCATTTTTTTTAAGGGGGGAAAATCAATGAGTGACTGCTCCAGCCTCGGTGAGGCGGGAGGGAGTGTCAGACTCTTACTGACTAAAAACCACCCCGTTCCTTCTCCTGCACGTTGAGCCGGAGCCCCTGTAACACGTTAGGTTCTCTGCGACTTCATCCAACATTGGACGTTTTCCGGCTATTGATGATGATAATTATGATGATGAAAATAATAAAGAGATTTTTTTAATAAAAACCTTGCCACACACTTCGATTTTCTCCTGTGTCATGGGTTCGTTTACAATCATACAAGTTTAGATTCACATGATACTCAGACCCGAAACAACAACTTGTGGATCACACAAAGAGTTGCTCCATGCGGGAATCGAACCTGCGATACGTTGCGCGGCAGCCGGTTGCCCAGCCACCGCACCAAACGTGCCGTCAATTTTGAAGTAGAGGTGGGTGAAAAGTGACGTATAAGGTACCAGCTGACTACATAAATCCTATCCCAAAATGTCGTGGTGGCCCGGAGACTTAATACGCCCGCTTCTCATGCATGAGGGTGCGGGCTCGAAGCCTACCAACAGCACGTATCAATGTAACTTTTTCCGAGTTCTATAGTACTTTCTAAGAGTATTTAGATACCACTGACAAACAGTGAATAAAAAAAATGTGAGGAAACCTGGGCGTAAAATTTCTTATTATAAGTTTGAAATCGCCAAGTAAGCGTAGTGATTAATGCTCAATTCTCGGTGAGAAGAGACCTTTGATCAGCAGTGGCCATTTATAGACTGTTGATGTGATACTCATAGCATACCAATGTACCAATGAATGATAATTATGAGGATTTCATCATGCTTTTGAGGTATAAAAGTCAATACTTTGAGACCTCAAAAGCAAGATTAACGAAACACGATAAAAAACCAAAGAAATCAAAGGATTGAATATTCTAGATCGGATTTATATATTTCATTTGTATAAAATATACACTGATGACTCCCGGCTTTACAAGCTACGGGTTTTATAACTTCAAAAGGATAAATTCGTTTCACAAGTAAATGTAATGAGGGCTGTATCAAAGTTATTTACGCAAATCTAGTCTTTACATTTCAAATCTAACACACGCTAATAAATTAGGTCTCAATCGATTGGTTGAAGTCTAGATGTTAGGATTAAAGAATGAATTATTTCGAAAAACGAAAGTGCTTTGAGTCGGCCCCAATTCGAAATGGGAAAAGACTTAATGAAAAAAAAAACTAAAAAGGCTGGCATTATTTAATCTTGAGTTTCAGCAAAGTATTAAGCTAAGGATACACTAGGGGACAAAATGTCTTGCGACACGTGTAGCCAGTGACGTTGGGTGAAGTAGCGCAACGTTGCTGGACTTTGGTCGACATGCCTGGCAACCTCAATGTCGCAGTGGACATAAGTCCCGCGTTGTCACCAATCAGCCGGCATCGTTTGTGATGTGTATCCTTGGCTTTACAATTTTTTTTATTTGTTTTATGTTTGGTCAAAACCAGGCCACAAAATGCACGAATGAGCAATGCTTCGTTTTTTAAAATTGTTATAAAACTTTTCACATGTTCATACTGGTCTGAACCTGTCTGTATTGTTGATCAACAATAACACAACGAATATAGAAAATATGAATCAAAATAACAAAACTTCTAGGAAAATACAATCGAATTCACTAGAATCCTTTATTTGTACCTACAGCAACGTCTACAGAAATATAAATAGTTGCCGATCCAGTTACTAATACATCACAAAATACATTTTTTATTTAATAATAAGAACAAGGGGTAAACATAACAAAACATCACGGCCTTTATTCCCGAAGGGGGGGGTAGGCAGAGGTGCACATTATGCCACTGTACAATGTAACACCCACTTTTTCACTATTTATGTTATGAGCCCTATGTAATAGGGGGTGAGCCTATTGCCATATACTTGGGCACAATTCCTGACTTCGTGCTACTACTGAGAATTTTTTAAAAACCAAGTACCTAATACTTTGCCCGACCTGGAAATCGAACCCGAGACCCCTTGCCTGGCAGTCGCACTGTCGACCACTCGGCCAACGAGGCAGTCACAAGAACAAGGATTTATTAATTATTATGTTTTTCTATTTACTCACGTAATTATTTGACGAAGAACCCGACTAGTTTTAAGCCACATGAGTAGCTCACATTCACGAGCAGCATTTTGCGACATACGACGCGGTGACTGCCACAATGCTACTTGAATATAAGGATCAAGTAATGGCTTGAAATTAGTTGAGTTCCTCGTCGAATAATGACGTCAGTAAGTCAAAAAACATAATACATAATTAATTTAATATTTAATAATTATTCGACATCCATCTTAGGAGGCTGGCGTTAGGTGGATGGATCAAGGGCCTGATACAGAAGGCAGTTCTCCTAGAAACGTATCGTGAGCCCTAACCACCGGTAGCTTGGACCATGCTCCCGCTACTGGTCGGCTCCTATTTTTTATATTTTTAAATATATTTTTTTATTTTGTAAGTAGTATTTAAAAATGTAATTTATAGAGAATTTTAAATAAATATATGGTTTAAATTTAATATGCCTTACAAAGGTTATAACAAAAATTCATTTTGCTGAAATAATTTTCTTCGATGGTGCAGTTGAAATCAAATTATGGAAGGTATTTATTCATCCGTCAGGTTCTGTCGTCAAGTCCTTAACAAATATGCAGAATTAAATTTCATGTGCCCTTCAGTTTATTTGATATGTCGCGGCTAATATTTGTATTAAATATATTTATTTAGCAAATACTTTTTTACGTGGAAATATTTCGTACTCATTGTAAAATGTATGTCATCGTTAAATCAATATTTTTTATATCAAACAATTATTGTGGTTTATGTGATTTAAGACAATCGCCTTTATAAATTTTCTTAATGCAAACAATATCATATGTATACTTTTATATTCACTAGATAATATAATAGCTATCCTGACGAGCGGTGGGCATAACTCACTACTGAATGGAGTCCCCTCAACATCAATAGATTTCGAGGCAAGCCCAAAATGAGATGGTGGGATGAACTTTACTTTACCAACTGTATGGGAGAGCCATGCTTCGGCACGAATGGGCCGGTTCGACCGGAGTGATACCACGGCCTCACAAAAAACCCAAGTCGGGCAAAGTATTACTGAGTTTTAAAAATTCTCAGTAGTAGCACGGAGTCTGGAATTGTGCCCGGTAAATGGCAATAGGTTCACCTCCTATTACATGGGACTCATTAATAGTGAAAAGTGGGTGTTACCTTGGCATAATGTGCACCTTTGCCTATCCTTTCGGGGATAAAAGGCGTAATGTTATGTGTTCTACTTATCGTGGCGTTGACCTTTTTTTACTACAGACAGACAAAATGTAACAAACGAGTAACAAAAGTAAATGAGACAGTAATCATGACGTGATACGGTTAAGCCCTAGATTTATTTCAGTACCGCTGCTAATTCCCTAAGCCGGGAACAAGCATTGTTTTCCTCCAATTGAACATTTCAAACATTAATTTGTGTTTCGTTTCATTTGGAGTTTTGTTTGTTTAAAACAAATTTATTTTTTTGTGTTTTTTTATCTTATATTTGATTTATGTTATGTTTTTTTTTATTTATAGGGTATGTGTTAGCTGTGACTGGCTGACTGTTGAATTGGGTTCTGTTATTTGATTCTCTTATAAATAGCTTGAAACTAAATGTTATTATTTGTAATTTGACATTATGAAATCGTGAACAGTATATTAATACATTTTTAACAAACCTCTGAAGTTTTTAATTCTTAATTACCACAATATTACATCACGCTTTTATCCCCGAAGGGGTAAGCAGAGATGCACATTACTTTAATGCCACTGTACAACAAACACCTACTTTTAACTATTTATATTATGAGTTTCATGTAATATGGAGTGAGCCTGTTGCAATTGCAATATACCGGACACAATTCCAGACTCCGTGCTACTACTGAGATTTTTTTAAAACCCAGTATTATTTTGCCATTTTGCCAGCCAGCCAGTATTTTTTGATATCTTTGTATAATTATAATATGTAAAGAGAGCCTGTCTCAATTTGCAATTTATATTATTTTCAATGCAATGCTTGCAATTTGAACAGATGTCTTAAAACTGAGTGATTCTGAATTATTTTAATAGTGTAATGCTATGACAGAATTAAAATTATTTGATGAATTGAATAATGAAAGTTTCAGTAATGTCACTTCAAATAACATTTTATGCAAATTCATGTCATATTTTGAAATTCAAGTCGTTTTAAAATATTTTATTGTTTAAGAATAAGCCAGTATTGTAAAGGGATTTTTGAATGAAAATCCAAATTATTATTTTGTACCTTTATGATTTCAAATGTTATGAATTGCACGACGTTAATATTTTTCGAAAAGGATTCAAAATCCGTTGGTAATGATATCGAGGCTTCGCTTTTATTCGCATAATAATGTGTCTGGCATTATGCCAGGTATTTTTACACACAAATCTTTGGAGACATAAAAATTCATACCCTAACTTAGAATGACATAATATGTTTTGGGGCTCAGCAGATCAGCTGGAGCAGAATACTAAATAATTATAAATAATTCTTCGTGCAGGCGTCAAACCCTTAACCCTTTGAGTACCGTCATTATAGACACAATTAAAGATCAATAGGTTGCGGTCACCGGTGTCCTCGCGGTGTTTGACAGTTTAATATGGTCTATAAGAACCCTTCGCTTAACCATTACGCTGATCGTTCAACCAAAATGAAATTTGCAATATAAAAATTAAGTCCAAAGTTTATAACTCAAACTTTATAGTAATAATTCAAGATAATTGCTAAAGTATTTTGAACTTTGCCTGTGAAAGAAAAAGGTTCATGTTATTGAAAGAATGTAGCGTCAAATTGCTTTTTCATTGCCTGGTTAGGTAGCCTTTTTTCAAACCTAGAATACATTATTCAACTACATTAAGCAGCTAACGTTTCCTAAGTAACGCGTGGGCGGAACCGCATATTTTGAGAAACTTAAATGTTAAGTTTAGCGGGTCATTTGGTTTGAAAGAATGATTATAATTCGTCCATCTTACTTTTAAAACTGATCCTTTCTACTTTGTCAAGTTCAAGGGATGTATTTTCTTGAGCCATTTAAGGCTCCGGCTCGAAGAGCAGGAGTAGGAACGGGTGGTTTTTAGTTAAGAGTCTGACACTCCCTTTCGCCTCACTCAAAGCTGGAGAAGTCATTGAATGACTTTCCCCCCTTAAAAAAATCTACTCCTTCATTATGTTTATGAATAAAATAAAACCTGTGGCGACGCATGCCAGTATGTCAACGGATGACGTCACAAGAATCCTACATCGCACATGCAAAGTTTACAAGCGAATAAACACGAATAGAAAATCCTAACGAACAACTGTTGGGCAGAAAGCCCGCCAGGCACGATCACCTCGCCTGGTCGGAGGATCCTCCTTTTCCGATCTTAGGGAACTTTACACTCTGTTCCCTAAACTATAAAATTACGATTCTCAGTAACTATTACTAAAACTAGGCTGTAACAATTTCCTGCTAAATCATAAACATGAGTGTGAAGATTTGTATCTCATAGACATTCAAGGTTTCACAGTTTCATTGTGAATTACTAAAGTTTGTAGGTATGTATGTATGCTTGTTACTCCTTCACGTCAAAACAGCTGAAGGGATCGCGATGAAATTAAGAACAGCGATAGATTATGGTTTGGAATAACACATAGGTAGTCTTGTAATATGTTTTTGAACCATAATTTAAATTGTTAACATAAATATGTTTTGTTAGTGGCTCGAAAGAGAAAATACACGTCGCTTTCAACCGATTGATTTGGACGTGTGAGACAATGATGATTATAAAGATATATTTTTTTTAAATAAAACGTTGCCCCACACTAGGATTGTCTCCTGTGTCGTGGGTGCGTTTACAAACATACAAGTTAACATACACAATGACACCCAGACCCGAAACAACAATTTGTGGATTACACAAAGTGTTGTCCCGTGCGGGAATCGAACCCGCGACACGTTACACGGCAGCCGGTTGCCCAGCCGCCGCACCAACCATGCAGTCATGCTGTCACCAAGTCACCAATTATGCTGAAAAACGAGTAAATACTTACTAGATCCACTAGGAACCCATTTGATTCCAATCCACCAGAAGCTGAACATAGTGGAGTGATGGTATACGTGAAGGAAGGTCAGCTGTTCGTCCTTCTTTCTTAATATGAAGAAGAAAGTGTCGCAGAATTCTAGAAGCTTCGAGAAGTAATACCACCAGACGGCGTCTGCTATCTGCAAAACGAAAAATAATTTTCTTTATATTTTACCTTTGATTTTGAAACAACTTAAGTGTAATTAGATCAATATTGTTATTACTAGTTAGGAAGGAAGTTTAAAGGAAGGTTAACCCATTGTTATTACAGATTCCGTGATATTACTGAAAAAAATTGTCAGTTATGCTTAGGGCCATTAGAATGACAAGACAATGGGTAGATGCCTTATTTTTATTTTAATGTCCACTGGTAGATTATTTTAAATCATTAGACATATATTTTTTATTTTCTTACAGAAACGAATACTTTCGACGATGTATTGATTTGAAATGTGCCGTGACGTCACTTCTATGTACATTTTATACATAGAAATGACGGTTTAGCCCCCACTCCTAAACTTTGATTTGTTTTATCTAAGTATTGTTTTATTATACGACAAAATAAAAAATACGTGTCTAATATTTTTTCATTACCTAACTTACGGACTAATTAGATTTTTAATTTACGGACTAATTTTCATAGCCTGTCATCATCCCAATTTTCTACATATTTTTATCTATTAAACTCTATAACATTACATGATATCACACTCATTGGTAAAATGGTTGGTATACAATACCATACAACTATCGACTTCAAGATATTGAGACCATCGATTTAAGATTATTGGGACATAATAATTGGGGTATGTCTATTAAGTAGCACGGAAAATTTCGAGGTTATATTTTGTTGTCGCTCAGAAAATAGGGACCATAGGGTCGTCCCCATTACAAAAACGTATTGTTATTGTGTGCCTAACTGTCCTGTTTTGACAGGCGTAGGCTGTAAGCCAATTGTCAAAAAGCTGATATATTTTTATTTGACCTAATATTTAACAATAGGCTTTTACTAATCTAGACTTTGGTTCAATGGTGAATTGCCCGCTTAATTGGCGAAAATTGGGGTAAAATGTTCATATCAAATTAATTAGAAAACGTAAAGAATAATAACAAAGCGATTATACTGTACATTTGCATAAATATTGTTATGTTTTTATGAAGTCTATTCTTACTCAGTAGAAATAAAATATTTTGCTGAATTTATACATGTAAGAAAGCAGTTAAAAGACACGTATTTCTAACAGAGCATTGCGTTGACTTTTCACAATGTTAGATCATTATAATAAATAGCTTTATATTGTGAACGTGTGATCATATCATTATATATTCGCCTTACTTGAAAATATTTACTCAATCCTGAGTTTAAATTTGTTTATTTTTATTCTACTACGTGCTTTGACAACGTCTAATCGTGTATTTAAATTTAAAGTGATTGTGTTTATTTAATAAGGTACTATATAGGTTAAATATAATCACATTTGTAAATATAACTACATCTAATTTACTATTAGACATCGATTTTGTGTGCCGTATCCAAGTGCTACAATCTCTTTGACTGGATTTAGGTGTTGCATTATTCTCACACAATCGAACCAACAAAACTATGTAACTAGAGAATTGTATTATAAACCCGATTGTAAAAGAGTAACCTATGGAGTTATTTGCTCGTTCTTCTCCATAGGAATCTAAACAATGGAATGAACAACTAGCTTCACTTCTAAATTTTTGTTGTTGACGTTCAAAAGTGCATTCCTGGTCTAATTAAAATAAATGATTTTGACTTTGACTACAATATGCATGCTTATATGCATTAAAGCAGTTGAAACATCATTGTGAAAACACTTCATATGTCAGATAAAATTATCTCAATGCGTTTTACAACTCTACTAACTGAAATGAGTTCAAACAAGAAAACGATTGAAATATAAATTAATGTTTAGATAGAAAACTACGCAAATAAATACATTGGTACGTATTTTCATGGCGGAATACATGTACTTCTTTTTTTAATTATTTTTTTTTATAGTAAACTGAGATAGAAAACAGACGGATCGCCTGTTGATGATAAGTAGGTACCTAATCAACCACAGAGGAGGAATAACGAGCTGTTACCGACCTTTTAAATAGTTATTAGGTTTATAAACTCAATAGGAAATACTGAAAGGTTACTCAGTTTTTTAGATTAAATAAATATAAATATAAAAAAAATATAATAAATAATAATAAAATTTATTCATATTTCAAAAATGCAAAATACAAAATATACCTATCTTAAGTAAGTAAAATTGATCTCATAAAGTTAGATGCCTACCCTGGGACAATCCTGTATCGCAGGCTAAAGGAGCTCTATACATAAATATCGCTGTTGCCATCTCTGTCATTAGACAGAACTTAGTTAAGCGTGACTTAAAATTGAGTAGCGTTTGAGTATTTGGATATCAGTCAATTAAATAATTATATTATTTAAAATTGTCCTAAATGAACGAACAATCGTGAACATTTATATAGTTTATCTGAAGGTCGTTTAAAACCAATCGACAAACAATGTTTTATATGTAAATTAAATCACGAACAATAAATATGTAAATATGTTGATTACTTTACAAGTACCTAATAGAGTATAGTTTAGAACTGTCAAATTCTTTCTTCATAAATTTAAAAAAAACCGAGTTGAATGTCTGTCTTTGATAGAATTGAAAGTCGTCTAGTAATTGGTGTCCATATCATGGTTTTATAGTTATTGTTATTGGCTATGTACCTATAGTAAACTAGCTTCTGGCCGCGACTTCGTACGCGTAATCCCATTTTTCCCCGTCCCCGATCGTGATTTTCGGTATAAAAAAAAATGTTGGTTAAAAAGTATCCTATGTCGGTCTCCTGGCTCTAAGCTACCTCCCCACCAATTTTCAGCCAAATCTGTTCTACCGTTCTTGAGTTATAAGTGGTGTAACTAACACGACTTTCTTTTATATATATAGATTATGGTAAAACTTCCAAGAACTTACGTAACAACTATCGTGAGACATACTAAATTAACTAAAAATCATGATTCACTCACGATCATATACTGAGAAAAACTCTACTAGTTTCGAGTCACTAAGGGACTCTTCCTCGTGAGCAGCGTGAGCGTCGACGTCATGCAGCCGACTACAGGAGTTTTTCTCAGTATATATAAGTGACTAACTGTGATTTTTAATTGATTAAGTTACATAACGATAAATTATTTTTTCTTCATTTTAAAGAAACGTTGCCCCACATTAGGATTTTCTCCTGTGTCGTGGGTGCGTTTAAAAATATACAAGTTCACATACTATTACACAATGACACCAAGACCCGAAACAACAATTTGTGGATCACACAAAGTGGAATGGAATCGAACCCGCGACACGTTGCACGGCAGCCGGTAGCCCAGCCACCGCACCAACCGTGCAATCGATTATTAATCATTACGCCTAAATAACGTTATTCATTTGTCCAATAATAACAATCTATTAGAGAATTCGTGCATGCTGTTAAAGATGTTTGAGAATCTGAATACACACTACAAAAGAAGTCGTACAAGTCATTCAATCTCAAATCTTTAGTCTGACCCACTGAACTAAAAAAAACAGTCTAGACATAAAAAAACAATATCAAAACTTACTTGCAATTCATCAGGATCGTATTTCTGCCGACACGGCTCACAAATATAGCTGTACCGTAACCTAAATGAGGCGGTCAGTAGCCTTAATGCTATATAAGCATTTAATGCTGCCATAGCCAGGTTATAAGGTACTAGGAGCCACGTAAGTTGGAACGGTCTCCTATTCTTCATGATCTTGGGACCTATCCACACGATGAACAGGTACATTAAAGTATAGAAGACCGTTGGTGCTGGAGAGTCCACTAAAGGCCATCCCTTTGTTCGATTATCTGTAACAAATAATATTTCATTAATGATTAAAGTAAATAGGTCCTTGAAGTTTAGGCTTTGGGTTTAAAATTTCAAAGAGATGGTGACCTTTTGATCATTTTGTCTGGTATAGTTTGATACTTAGTGACCTATTTTTTAGGTTTGTTTATTTTGTTTGATCACCTCGTTGGGAGAGTTCCCGATTCCCGGATCGGGTAAAGTAATACTAGTTTAAAAAAAATCAGTAGTAGCACGGAGTCTGGAAATGTGCCCGGTATATGGCAATAGGCTCACTCCCTATTACATGGGACTCATAACATAAATAGTGAAAAGTGGGTGTTACATTGCGCGGTGGCAATGTGCATGTTCAGGGATAAAAAGACGTAATGTTATGTTATGTTATGTTTATTTTGTTTACGATGTTTAGTAGCTTTAAAGACGAATCTATAAAGTGTTTGCAGAATTAAAATGTTTAAAGTATAGTTTTACGTCATACAATAAAAGTCATTATTAACCGTTGACAGTTAGGATCTTTGTCGTTTAAAGGCGTCTTCTGTTGGTATTTTACTAGCTTAGTAAGTATCTGTTGTCTTTGAAGTCATTACTTTTACATTAGTCATTATTAACCTCTCGCGCGCCTTTCGTACACACGGGTAAATATTTTAATAGAAAAGCGAATTAAATATTCTGTTCAATCAAATAAAGAACGGGTTGCAAACTTGAAAAAAAAACAGAAAAAATATCCAATCGGTGCGCGTTTTTCGTACACCCGTGTGTATGATTAAGAAAAAAAAATTGTGTCTAATGACACATACCAAAGATTTTACAGCAAAATTCGATGCATTTTTCCCATCAAAATAACATCTCTTTCTGTACTTAGACACGACTGACCACTGGACACTACATTAAAACGAGTAGGGACCGAAGAAATTTTTACCTAAAAGTTTCATGTTTCGATATCTGCGTAGCGTATCCATTTGTTAGATACAAACCCTGATTGATGATAACATGGGAATACATGGGTCCATTTATTTCAGCGCCGGAACCCAAGTGATATATCGCATGCATTCGGAAAATAGACGAAAGAAAAATATATCGATAATAATCATTTTTGACAGGGAAGGGAAGTAGACATAATAATATGCGAATGAATTATTATTATTATTAGTTTACGGAAATGTCTTTGTTAATATTTTATTGATACATTCTTCTTTTAGAGAGACTGCCTCATTGGCCGAGAGGTCGAAAGTGCGACTGTGGGGCAAGGGGTTCGATTTCCGGGTTGGGCAAAGTATAACTGGATTTGTAAAAACCTTAGTAGTAGCACGGAGTCTGGAAATGTGTCCGGTATATGGCAATAGGCTCACCCCTATTACATGGGACTCATAACATAAATAGTGAAAACTATGTGTTACATTGTACAGTGGCATAATGTACACCTCTGCCTACCCCTTCGGGGATAAAAGGCGTGATGGTTTGTTATGTGTTATTATACCCTGTAATTCTTCCTCCGAACAAAAAAGAGGTTTTATTCGATAGTCTCGTTTAACTCGTCGAGTACCGGTTTTATAGACACAATTAAAGAACAATAGGTCGCGGTCACCGGTGACCGCTTGGTGTTTGACAGATTAATTTATTTATGACCTCATAAATGTTGTTAACGGGAATTATAATAATATTAACAGTACGTAACTGATATTGGATATTGAACAACATGTGTCAACTGCACTGTTGGCGCGGCGGTTGGTATGTGTTGTAAATGTTTTGTAAATGCACCCACGACACAGGAGAAAATCCTAGAGCGGGGCAACGTTTTTAAAAAAAAGAAAAAAAATAAACAGCATCGATATAATGTGACTATCTGAGGCCTTACTAGTACGCGTTCAGCACTCTGATTGGCCGGCGCCAATGAAGCAACCAATCAGAGCGCCGAACGCGTACTCGTTACGAGTACTTTAAACGTAAAATAAACTCGTACTAATGCCTCTGTCAGACAAATGTTTAGACAAGTTGGTAATCAGTTTTTAAAGGTTCATATTTATCAGAGAACTCTGTCCGTTTATCCTCGGAAAGTGAGTTTGTTTGTTTGTTTGTTCCACTTTCACACCGTAACTACTAAACTGATTGCTTTGAATTTTTGCAGACGTAAAGTTAGAAGTCCGGATTAAATAATAGGGTACTTTTTATCCCAGAAAGATTTGATATTTCCGAGGGAAAAAAGTATTGGTATAGATGGCGCTGTGTGTATTGGTATATGTCACATAGGCTACTTTTTATCCTTTAGTGACGCGAGCGAAGCCGCGGGTAAAAGCTAGTTGACAAATAAAGTAAAATACCAAATCGCTCTCTCATTGGTCTAAGTAAAATCGTGATAGTTTTCTTAGAACACCAATTTTTATCTCTTTTCGTCCTTGGATGAGTCAGTGACAGATTCTTAGGTCTCTTGCGATAGCCTTGATAGATCGGTAGTAGGCAGTCTAACATATTATCTTAGAGACGATTACTAAGTACCTACTTCAAATCCTATTCAATGTCAACTAAATCGTATATTTTTGAGATCTAGTCTTGAAAAAAGGTTATTTTGTAAGCTTAAAGTTGAGTGCAATTTTTCTTATTTTTGTTTTTATCTAAAAATGGATCTTAAGTGTTTGATTTTAGCATGTTTTTACATGACTATCATTACTCACACAATATTCAGTAAGAGATCGAGGTTTGTGTAAGATCTTTTTGCTTTATTTATCTTTGCGCACATTTGTAAGAGAAGATTTATTAAGAATACACTTTTTGTACATTATTTATTGCAAAGTAATTAAGTGAACACTTTTCTTGTAATCAGCAAAATTAATTCACTAAATAAATGTATTGCAAGTTACGCTTAATAAAACGAATGATTGAAACTAAATAAACGCATAATGAGTCTTCGTATAGAATTTTGGAGAGACATTAGTTTTTATTGTGATGTAATAAAAAGGTTAAACAGAAGCCCGGAAAATACGAAACCCTAATAGCTACATTTAATATTCTTTCCTAAAACACAGGGGTTTCTATATTTGAGTTCCTGTCTTTTATTTATGGTCCAGACGGTTGAATGTTGCCGACATTATTCACAGAACGAACCCATGTAATATGTATGTATGAGATAGGGTTATTTCTCTTCCACTTAGAACTTTAGCAGACGGGCCATTTTTAGGAATAATCGACCGTCAGTTTATTAGTTTTGAATACAAATTTCGTTTTAACCATCAAACCATCACAGATGGGGCCCAGTAGGGCTTATGCCCGATACGGAGCCGCGGAAGGCCTAACGGGCTGCCGGGGCTGCGGCTCGAAATGCAGGAGTAGGATCGGGGTGGATTTTAGTCAGTAGGAGTCTGACACTCCCTCTCGCCTTGCCGGTGGGAGAAGTCATGGGATGATTTTCCCTTTAAAAAAAAACCAGTTTTACAATGTCAAGACATAATACTAAACTATGTGTCACACTAAGACAGATTTTATAAGACATTGTGCACAACTTAGGTGTTACAGTTATGACATATTTATGTGAAGTATTTAAGACTTTGACTGCCAATAAAAAACTGTTGAAGGTAAATCCTCCGCTAACGCCGGTCACCGGTGACCTCCATGGCGTTTCACGTGTTAATATTAGACTTATTGAATCCTTTATAAACTCCGTTTAAAAATACAGACTTTGGTTAACCGATTCCAAAAAAGAGGGGTCCTTGTTTACTTCTATACAGGTTTTGTACTAAAACCTTTCACCAAATGTTACTAGAAAGATTAAAGGCGTTTATTTAAGAAAGAGATTTGAATCTTCTTAGCAACATTGTATCATGATGTTAGTTACGTTACGTGTCTCGTCTACTTTCGACCTTCATTTAGTATTCAAACAGTATGGCTCTTAAGTTTGTAATCGACTTTTATATATTTTGTTCCTTTTACTTACATTTTTATGAGACAATGGCGGAATCACGTACACACGCATCAACCTATACAAAACCAGTTTATCCTGGTGTCGCGTCGCATCATCTTTCCGCACATTTAACGTTCAGTTTATACTGGTTATGTAAAGCTCGATGTGTAGCCGTGTGTACATGTTTGTTTTATCATTGTAGTATTACGGCTATCGAGGTTTATGAGCTGTGACAAATATTCGCAAATTAGATTGGATTTTGAGAATATGCGTAGTTTTTATTTCACCAAAGTTTTCTAATTATCTTTTTAGAAACACCGGTTTTATGTTATGCCTTATGTTTAAAAATGCTATTTTCTAAAAATATACGGGCTTAGTCCGTATTATGATATCACTTTGTTTTTACTACCTGAAATTATGAACTAGATGCTGTTCATCCTATGTTGTGATTTTTTGTACTATACAGATATTATTCGTAAATCATCTTATACATACATCAGAACGTCACCAGTTCTGATGCATGAGCCGCCTCGCGAGCCGCCCGCGAGACGAGTGCGTGCTGTGATGGGAATTGTTTGATGCTCAATTCATACAAGGTTCGAGCTGCGCATTCGTGACACATTCGCCAGATATGGACGCACCCTAAGATTTTAAATAACTAGCAACAGTTATATACCCACATCCTAATCCTTACCTTATTAAGATAGACCAACTTCTAACCTATCAGTGGGTGGGTAATCTATAAGTAGGTACGTATGACTAATAATAGTTATTTATTTGCTCTTTAGTTTTTACCTTTTGCTTGTTTTTTAGGCTTGGATTTTCGAAGTCGGTATTTTTATTTACTTTCTGTAGTCGGTTAAAAATATGTTAAATGCCTTACCTGACAACGATAACGTCCATAGATAGTAGTCATACGTTTCCTTCAACACACTTTGTGTGGAGTTTATTATAATATCTGCCATCTTTTGAAACAGTATCTGAAACAAAAAAAAGAAATATTAACACATTATATTTATAGTCTTTACCAATCACGGGACCACGGAATCCCGGTCATTTGAGAGGCGTACGAGGAGTCGATAACTAACTAAGCTATACCGTCGACGGTATGTCCGAACCGATAAAACCTACAAACCTTCAGGACAAGAGCGTATTCCTTTTTAAAAGACCAACATCGCACTTATGGCTGCTCTGGTGTTGCGGGAGTCCAAGGCCGGTGCTGATCGCTTACCATCAGGTGATCAGTATGATTATGATCGTTTACCTCCCATTCCATAAAAAAAACTGCGCAGAGGCCCTTTAGACAACTTGAATTTAAATGCAATGGCACGGACGCCTATCCCTGTATGCACTACGGACATGCACCCAAGGATAATCCCCGGTAGTATGTTTATGATTTATGACTTTTTTTAAAAACCCAGTAATACTTGCCCGACTCGTGAATCGAACCCGAGACCCCTTGCCCGGCAGTCGCACTTGCGACCACTCAGTCAACGGGGCAGTCGATTATTATATTAACTTTTAATATTTTCTGATACGAATACAACTTGCATTGTCATTAATACTGTATTACATTTTTAATTAAGCACCGAGTTAGGATCGTCTTATATTATTAATCCGCTTATGAGTATGTTATAGTGTATTCATTAGAAAAAATATTCAACATATGAACTCGTATGAACTTTGTATTACCACTAAAAATTGGAGAAAATTTTCTTTTAGCCCAAAACGTGTAGAAAAGGCGATAGATACCAACTGTTGCTAGGTTTGTAACGTTCTTATTAAACATTGTATGAATGGAAAACAATGTTGCAATAATGTTATCTCTATATTACTTAAAAAAAATACTATTGATACATTTATGAAATAGTGTAAAATGTTAATTATTAATTAAGATAAGTAGTTGTATCATACAAGTTAATTTTTTAGGACAAATGTAAAATCGATAAACGTAGAAAAAGTAAATTAAATTAATTAAAATATATAAGATTTTAGAAGATATAATAATTTATTTGAAACTGCCATTTTTGCAGAAGTTCCAAACTAAGAGTGTAACATTTTTTTAGAAATAAGTTCAATACAATACTGAAAAAGATGTACCTTCGAATCCCTTGAACAGATCTAGATTTATGTGTCGACACATTGAACATTAGTTCTTCAGACTTTCTTTATTCACTAGTATTATAACCGTTTATTAAATTCAATATTCAATAAAGTACATTAAAGGCAATTGATTTTCACTGCTGACATATGGAGGCAAGGAATACAGATTTTTATTCTGTAGATAAGATTTTTGTTAACTACAATTATTAGTCAAAACTGTTGCTCCCGACCATGAGCCCATAGTATGGCTTGAAACTAATCGAGCTGCGTTAAACACTTTTGTCTTTAACTTATAGACAACTCAAAGTACTCAATAATATAATGTATTAGGTCTTTGCCTATGAAATTGCTGTTTTGTATGAAAAAAAATTTTTTTTCATAAGACAACATCACGCCTATTACCCCGAAGGGGTAGGCAGAGTTGCACATTATGTTATGAGTCCCATGTAATAGGGGGTGAGAATTTCTTGATGATGTTTTTCATGTATTTTTTATTTGTATTAACCAAAGTCATCACCTATGCAATCAATGCATATTTGCCAAAACAGTGGCAGTTTACTGATGCTTCTTTTATAGAAACCAGCTGGACGGGACGCAACAAATTCTTTAAAGCCATTACGTACTGCCTCTCGGGTATTGAATTTTTTCCCGCCAAGAAGTTATCCAAATTCTGGAGAAAGTAGCAGTCTGTACTAAGTAGGTATATGGTGACGTCACTAAAGATGCCTGAGGATGAGTAAGTGCTTAATTTGATAAGATTCGTTTTTCATTATAAAATTCTTTTTCCCTTAAAGGGCAAATTTTTAATAACAAGCTAAAAGAATGCTTCAGATTTTAATACTAACCTCGGATATTGTTCGATACTCGTACGAGGGCGAATATGAGATTCCCGAAACTTCTAACATTTATCAGAGCAAAAGTTGTTATTTTACTTCAAGTAAAATGTTTGCCGCTGAAATGATTTAGGGGCCACTTAAATTTAACAAAAATCTTCCATTATGTGAACTTGAAAACTTTATATTGAATAGACGTTATTTAAATGAAAATTATTGATGAAATTATATACGCGTTGCAAACTTAGTTTTAAGAATATTGTTATTTTTATGCATTATTTAGATGCAACCTTTGAACATTAGGCCTCTAAGTTTAAACTTCGCGAAGTAAAATTCTTAAGAACGGAGCTAAGTATAATAACATAACATAACATCACGCCTTTTATCCCCGAAGAGATAGGCAGAGGTGCACATTACGGCACTTAATGCCACTGTACAATGTAACACTCACTTTTCACTATGTATGTTATAAATCCCATGTAATAGGGGGTGAGCCTATTGCTATATACCGGGCAAATTTCCAGACTCCGTGCTACAACTGAGATTTTTAAAAACCCAGTAATACCAAGGTATGTCACTTGGCTAACGGGGCAGTCTAAGTATAATGAATGGCATATAAGAATAATTTCATCCATTATTACGTACATAGGTGTAATGAGACAACTGATAAAAAGGTTAGTTCGTCATCAACTGCAAAAGAAGTCAAAATTATCTACTTTAAAAAAATCTAATGAAGTTTTAATGATTAGGTACTTTTTTTTTAATGGGTGAAAATCATCGAATGGCTGCTCCCGCCTGGGTGAGGCGGAAGGGAGTGTCAGACTCTTACTGACTAAAAACCACCCCGTTCCTTCTCCTGCACGTCGAGCCGGAGCCCCGGTTACCCGTTAGGTTCTCCGCGGCATTATTACGTACATAGATGTAATGAGACAACTGATAAAAAGGTTAGTTCGTCATTAACTGCACAAGAAGACAAAATATTTTACTTAAAAAAAAAATAATGGAGTTATAAATACTTCTGTTATGCAATACCTACCTACATTGTTACGACAACATTTTCATAATACTTCAAACGGTTGAATAAGAAAGGTATTTCTCTTTACAAACAGCAGGTAAATGACCAAAATGTTAGAAAAATTCTTGGAACAAGGAAGTGAATGAACTGTTTACCGTATTACAAAGGACATTGAATTGAAACCCAATAAAATTTCTCTTTCTTTTAATTTAGGTATTAGGAAATCGCTTCGTACAAGCTTTCGTTATTGATTTTTTATGGCAATGTTAAACGAGCAGACGGATCACCTGATGGTAAGCTATCGGTGTCGCCCATGGACACCCAGAACACCAGAAGCGTTACATGTGCGTTACCGGCCTTTTGGGGATTAGGAGTTTGAGGATCGTTGGGGATTCAGGAATTGTGGAGATTGGGGAAGGGGAGGGTAAGTGGGCCTCCGGTAACCTCACTCACACGACGAAACACAACGCAAACGTTGCTTAACGTCGGTGATTTAAGTAATGTAATAATTCAAAGAACAAATTTATACATTTTTACGTAATTTTTCCATTTGGTGTCGTCGTGTGGGTTGACTACAAACCACCGCATTAAATTTTAGCCTAAAGTAATGTTTAAGAATAACAAAGAATACGAAAATTCAACTGAATCAATATTATTATACGTCCCTCTATTTTTGTTATGGAAATATTTCTTGATTATAACGTCTACTGTTTATGATCTGACGATTGTGTCTTAAAACATAGTGGGTAAGGTTCTCAACATGTTAGTGTTTTAATTTTGTCCAAAGATAGTTAAATTGTCATTTAACATCTACTATTATACGTTTTAAGATCCAAGTAATAGGATACGATCACTGTATGATTTAGCTATTTCAATTATCAAAAAGTAAAAAATGCACTATACCTCTAATAAATTCCTTCGTTTGGAATTCAAATTCGACACGTTTGGTCAATAAGTAGTCACAGTTGCGAACTATGACGTAGTCAATCTTTAATCTCTCCGGAGTCTAAGGCTGGTTTTCGTCTGACGCTGACGGCATGCGCACCGTCATCGCTGATGGCCGAGATATGTATAATATGAATATCTATGAAGAGGTTTCGAATGACGCGTTCTTAGAAGTTCACATTAAGTATATTTCGGCTTTCAGTATGGCATCGTGTGGTCGACGCGAGTCTATAACCAGCCTAAAATTTATAAATGTAATGTCGTTTGTCATGTTAACTGACCACCATTGTCGTAAGTCTATCAAGTTATTATAATAATATAGAAACTCAAAGATAACATTTAAATCAATAAATAACAAGTAACTAATATTATATTAGAAAGTTATATAAAGAAATGGTCGTGTAATATTTGACAAAACGATGCGTGGGGTCATTTTAGGCCGACCCGACCGACAGACAGAATACAAAGCTACCTATACAAAATTATTTGTGTGAACTGATGCAACGGTGTATTATGTCAACCAGTTTCGAATGTGGGTTGCCGAAGTTCTTAATGCATTTTAATAGGAAAAATTTTTGTGAAGAAAGTTGTGTCGAATTTTATTTTAGTGTTTTAAATATAGTGTGGAAGAGCCATGCTTCAGCACGAATGGGCCGGCTCGACCGGGGTGATACCACGGCCTCACAGAAAACTGACGTGAAGCAGCGCTTGCGTTGTGTTTCGTCGTGTGAGTGAGGTTACCGGAGGCCCAATTACCCTCCCCTTCCCGAATCTCCCCAATTCCTGAATCGCCAACGATCCTCAAACTCCTAATCCCCAAAAGGCCGGTAACGCACTTGTAACGCCTCTGGTGTTCCAGGTGTCCATTTACGACGCCAATTGCTTACCATCAGGTGATCAGTCTGCTCGTTTACCGATACGCCATAAAATAAATATAATAATAATAATAATGAATTGAATATTACTTTGGTTGATACAGTCGATAAGTCAAATAGTAACTGAGTGCCAAGCACGAATAACTATCGCATTCGTAACGTAATAGTATCGAGTGCGTTCGGCGCTCTGATTG